AGTTATGCCTACCGCCCTTGGTGACGTGTGGCACCTTCGCATAGTGCCTATCCAATATCGCCTCTTCCAGTTCGCTCCCAAATACTTCCGCCATGACCGCTCACTACACCACTTGCTCGCAACAAGAGTCTTGTGTCAAGGTTCAACCTACCAATACGAATAAGCATTGTATTCAGTCAACAAATTCTTGAAGATATTGAATGAAGTTCCACCCAAACTGTGCTCTTGGTGTTGTGCCATAACTACTGTATAAAAATCTACATGTTCCTACTAAGGGCGGCCTTCCAGTTATCTAATGTCAAAGAACATAGAGCAAATCACAAGAGATAATATAGGATGAGCTAATCTTTGCCGCTTAAAATTTTGTCGCCTCAATTTGTTATCACCGTTTCATTACAAATATTACAGTCTGAACATTAGGGATTCCATCTGAGCTATCCCTCTTGCAGTTCAGTTTTAGTTCTTTTTCCCGCAACGTTCCACGACACGACTGCGATCATTGCAACGCACTAGATACAACGTTGCGGCCTCTACATGGTTGCCGCAAAGTGCCCTCCCCGTTCCTCGCAAAGTGCCCCGCCTCTCCGTTCCCAAAACTGAGATAAAATCCGGCTGATCCGGGGCAGCCCGAAGGGAGGATGAAGAAAGAAAGAAAGAGGGGAAAGAAACTGGAATCCCTGACACCTGGCAGTACGGCTGTTTGTAAAAGTTTGTGCAACTAAGCGAGTCGCGGTTGAAGGTTGTGGGTATAGAGTGGGTCCTCCAGCATGCAGTCAACGTAAGCTCAGTCAGCAACTTCAAACGTTGAGACTCGAAGATCTCCGATCGGAAATTAATTTACACTTACACAACGACAAAATATGTTTTTCTTGCCAAAGAAGATTTTCGGAACTTTTTTTTTGCCGGCCGGGCCGAGAGTACTAACCATTAACTAAGTAGCTTCGGTTCGATATATCCTTGAGGATGAAGGGAGGTCTCCGAAGACAAAGAGATCGGGAAAGACGCGGGATGGAGAGTGATCCCAGTTTGTGAAGTTTAAACGCTACGCATAAGAGGAACATGGAAGTTTGCCATGTTTGTACACGTCAATGTGATTTTACTCCTTTTATGTATGTTTAAAAGATAATGTGTCAAAAAATCATACAACATGATGCATAAAAAAACTATCTCTCCAAAAAAAATTAAAAATCTCTAGTTAGCACAAAGTGGATAATGTTTAAACTTACAAGATTAAAGTCCTCCATTTCTAATATTGAGTCTCTCTTGCACATTATGTGATACATTCCTTATTCAATCACTTTAAATTTCATAAATTTTAAATTCTTGCTTAATCAAGAAGATCATCGACGACAATCTTTATCTCTTGTCATGACAAAGATCAAGATTTTGGATCTACTTTAGAGTACTCTTGTTATTTTATAGAGATAATGGAAAACACAAGGATGCATTATGAGAAGTGAGAATCCATCATGAACAAGTTGCGGAAGAAACTTCAGCATGACTTGCTTGCTTCATCACAAATAAGTCAAACTTGTTTATACATAAGTCAAAAGCTAGGTTAAGCAAAAAAGTTCTTTACATATCTCCATATACGAAAACCTACGTGTCAATTAGTCTACTAACTTCGCATCAAACTGTATAAATGAACTCTAGTTTGAAGTAATGTTATATGCTGTTTGAAATAGTTCAACATTCTAAAGTGTATCTCATTTGAGTCAAAACCACATTTAGATGCACAAGATAATTTCCAAAAAAACATATACTTTCAACTCATATGAATACATTCCCATTGTATAAATTTCGAAATGAAGTACATTTATTTACATCAAATTGACAACCAAACTTTAACTTCATGCCATATTCTTTTGATGCTTTGTATTAGAGAATGTCTGTTTATAATCACGGACACAAGTTCAATGAAAATACCAACCTAGGTTAGAAAAAAAATTACATAGGTTGACAGAGAAAAAAGTCCCTTATGATTGATTTAATGACCATCTGCGGCTCGAACCTTCCTTAAAAATATATCATGACAAGAAATACAGTAGCGCGGCCTGCACAACGATGCGAACTGCGAATAGGCAAATCTCATTTCCATAACATTTGCTAACTATCGAAATTAGTTCACTTACTCATCATGGAAACCATCTTGAGACTTACACGGTGAGGTGATACTGTGTAGCGGGCCTGAAACCAGTTTTGTTTCAGGTCAGCTAGAGGTACTCCAATCTCTGCAGAAGTATTGTGATGATTTGTGAACGAAATGTGTGCATGCAGCGTCATGTCCCCCTTATCTGATAACGGAGACAATGGAATCCCCTGGTTCAGAATATAAGCGTAGTCTGATTCGAGGATAGGGTTATTAAGTAGGAAAAACTGTCCCTGCATGCAAATACTGGAAATTGCGCATGTAATCGCGATTTCAAGAAGGTTCAACGAGATGACTTTGCCAGACCATCTTCGAAGAGGAGACTGATGATCACATAATACAAGTAAGAAAAAACTTGAATTGATTAATTTCACTACCGTCAGTGATGGAAGGGACGTGCCAGCTGCCCCTTCCATCATATCAACAACCTACATTCCATCGGACTGACTGATCCTGATGATTACTCTCTTGCTTATTCAATGTCAAACGTCTCTATTTTTCGACATGTGTACCTCCAGAACAGCATCAGGTGGACACCAAAATGGTAACATTCTGAAGAGCAGAGGTGGTCGAAAAGGTTCAATGAGAGGGGATAAAACCTTGATATCTAACCACGGTGGGAGTTTCTACGTCTGATAAAAGCCGAGCAGCCGCGGATCCCAGTCTCCGAAAAGTGAACGCATTGTCCTCAGTATCAGAGTATGTAGTCACCTTTTCACCCTGCACACAATTATGAGGTGTTTCCAGCTGACACAAATCTTCGTCACCGATCGTCTTCTTCATCCACTCCACCTGTACAGAATTCCCCTGTTTACGTTAGAAAGGCATAAGTTCAGCATCCTCCATGACCTGTCATCTAAAATCTGCACTGATGTGTAGATCCTGCCGCTCTGAGCAGATGACTCTCCCGACAGGTATTTCTTCAGCTGTAGATTGAATGATTTCTATAAACCTATAGATTGAATAAATTCTACGGGTTGAATCTATGAGATGCAGTCTTCAGTTCTAAATTCATAAGCAATCTCTAGATGTCATGCATATATCTTGAAGCTGCTAATGAGTACCAATGTTCCAAATATATCAACCTTTAGATCTTGACATTTTAATTTTAAAGTTTAAGAGATTGATAAAGTAATCACAATTTTGTCTAATTTTATCGTTTGTGTATCTTTGTTAAAAGTAAAACTATAACACACATGATTAAAGCAAGAGTCATAAATTTTTCATTAAAAAAATAATTGAAAACATCAACTTTTTAAATTTTCGGTAGATTATAGTAAATTTTTAATTCTTATAGTTATTACAGTAAATTCATATTAAGAAAATATATATTATAAAAATATATAAGAATGTGAGTTATTAAAAAATATTATAAATCATGAAATAATGATCACTTGAATAATGTTGATAAAATACACAAGTATGTGTAACTTGTACAAAGATAGTATTCATGTGTGCGATATCATTTACTTCTAACCCAAACCAATATTGAAAAAAAAAAAATTTGATTGTTTACTAAGATTTATTCACAAACTTCTTGTAAGATGATTTTAAAATTCTTTAGTGAAAAAAGGTTGATTTTAGAGTTAAATGATTAAACACTGAATCAATAACAACGTGCAAAACATTTATCTTTTTCATCAAGAGGAAAGTCAAACGCTCTCACACACATGAACATGAAAAATCACTTACAGGCACAGTCGAATCAATACATATGTGGTTCATCATTGCAGATTACATTCACGAAACATGAGAAATCCTGAATATTGTCACCGAGAACTTTTGTGAACTTTTATCATTATATAAGATACAGTAAAATCCTTTTTAGCCAATGGGACCGTTCACAAGTTATAACCTAGGAGGGGTTATAACCTACGAGAGGTAAAAGTGTAAGTATTGGGACCGACACAATCTTATAAGGTAGCTGAGGTTATAACCTAAGAGGGATAAGGTACGAGGGGTTTTACTGTAATTAAAACAGCTTCACTAACGGAGATGAAGCTAACCTAAATTAAAACCAAATTAAATTATTCAGTAGCTCAACATTTTAAGTTGATACAACTCCATTGTGCTACACCCCAGTGTAATTTAAAATGATATGATTAGGTAATACAAGGCCAAGTAACAATGTTCTCAAGTAGCAAAACAGTAAAAATTCCTGCGATAGTTACATGGACATACAAAGTACCATTTTGAATTACTTGTTTTTTTACTTATGAAATCAGTAAATTCCAGATCAAATGACAATCTTCATTGTTCAATTAATAGAGATCAAAACCCAAAGTTTTCATTTTAGTAATCACATATATGTAACAAATGTTAAGTTTTAGAAATAAGAACATGAAAAGAACAAAAATAATCCATCGAAAAAATTCCTTTAAGCTTTTCTCAAATGGATGTCACTTATGTTGGAACACTACTTTGAAGTTGTGAGTACATATAGATTTCATCTTCTCCAAGTTTTATTGCATGTAGGGTATCGGATAATCTGTTCACTGTGCATTATTGGTTCTGAAACCATGCGATGCTTGCAAAATACGACATTGCTGTCTTACGTCTTCCTGATTCAATTACATGTTTCAGATTCTGCTATTTGCTTATGTTCAAAAAATATTTTCTTTTTTCAAATCATTTGTGGACCTCCTTCTTAATTAAATGATGAATGATGTAAACAACACGTCAAAGGGTGGAGACTACGAAATTATTTTTCACTTTCATATGTTAGCAAACGTGGCAAGAAGTTACCAAAAATATGTTACGCAACAATATCCCATACATGGTAACCGCATAAAAAAGGAGTACTCTTTTCATATCTATGAAAGTACAACCATGAGCCAGATGGATAACTGATTTCAAATGGAAAATCATGACGCATGCAGCCCAAAAGAACTGTGTTTCAAACGAATTGAATTAGATGTCTACATTTTGAGCCTACCGAAAAATTATCTCCCGTGCTTTAGTCACAAGTAAAAGAACTCAATTTCTCAGGCTACACAAATAGCTACTAGCTTCAAAACTACGAGAAACGTTGCTAGTGCGGTGTACAAAATGTGCTGATAGATATCATATAGCTAGTTTGACCTATATGCGGAAGAAAATGAAAAGTCCAATCGCAGTAATGATCATTGGAGCGATTCGCTTTCCCCACATTAACAAAACTTTCAACTTCCACGAGGAATGTTGATGCCTTGATTAGTTGAAGGCAATGTATCCCTATGACAGGATAAAGAACAAGCGAGACTGACTTAGTGCTGACTATGTCACTCGAAGAGTTTTCTTGTATTCCTTAAATGTGCCATGGAATGGAGTCGCTTTTCCGTCAGAAACGACCCAAAGCTCATCCACACTGCCCGATATTAGATGCTCATCGTGACTAACCTGCACAACTCGATGGAAATTGGATACTATTCAGAGCCTGAATGATAAAGAAACATGATTATGTGCGAAGACTATCAACGTCCAAGCTGGAGAACAAGACATGAGATTGAAGCAACTATGATCCATGAATGAAGGGACCCACTGTACGCAAGTCAACGTTATTGGGGACATAGTCAGGGCACTCACCATTAACACTCCTCCTTGGAACATTGCCAGTCCACCGATGAGAGCCTCCACAGCATCAAGATCCTGTATACAACCAGTGCGTTCATACAGAACATCACATAAAAATACACATAAGATATTCATGCCTAGAATTTCTAATTCGACGCAATCAACGCCGAAAGGCTAATGCAATATTCAATGCAAACGTTTTAACTTTAAAAGAAAGCGTAATGTCCAAAATTGATCTCTCAAGAAATGAACATGTTTATACCAAATGGTTGGAGGGCTCGTCAAGAAGAAGAATATGAGGTCTGTTGAAGGTGATTTTTGCAAATGCTACTCGACTCTTTTGTCCTCCTGCAGCCCACGTTCCAATATGAGATTTACATAGTGTCCTATACACGCAATACCATTTCTCCAAAATGTTGATATTTAATTTAATTGACGTTTAAACTAGTTCATACAACACTAGATGAGTATTCACTCCAAATAATGGTAATTATATGGGAATGTGCGACAACATATTTAAACAAGTGTACATCAATGTGAAAGAGCCAAGAGGTACAAGGACTTCACTCTTATTTTCCCCTGAGATGTCCAATAAATTAAGTGAGAAGAAGTGAATGAAGAAACTGAGAACAGACACGGACACATTCACATCTCAAAGGTTCCTAACCACGATTGAATATAAACGCTACCACCCAATTTGAGAAGACATGAAAATTGTTAAGAAGATGCACATACCTGAAAGGGTATACATGGCTTGCAAAGCAAGATTTCCGGAGATTCCAAATGAACCCAGATGAGAGCGCAGCCTTTGTTCCATTACACCCTGTTTGCATCAATCGTTCCATGTTAATATCTTCAGTCTTCTTGACAAACTAGATAGCGTCTTTTGAGATCGGATACTGAATTCAGTATGAGATTATACTCCATTCTAGTATCCTAAGGTGAACACACTTCACTCTATGTTTATAGATCATGTTCAGAATTCATCAGAGTCAGACCCTAGTGGTAACTTAATAGTGTAACATGTAAAATGGATAAACTCTGAATAGACACTGAGTTACAGAATGTATCTAAAAATTTACTTGTTAAGGTGTCGCCTCTCACTGTGTATTACGGATTCGGCTTTGTACGTCCAGGCTCAAACTGAGCCAGAAAGTTGTGTGTATTGCTGTTCAGTTAGTAAAGCAATCAAATGGGAGATTTGATCTTGCCTTGATAATTCTTCGAGGAAGTGGTCACACATGTGAATTTTGGTTCACCGTGAAGCTAGTGATAGAAGCTGTAATTCAGCTAGATCAATCTAGCTGAATTACAGTTGGAGCTTGGTTCAAGGTAGAAAGTGCTACATTGAGAGTTTTGACGTCAAGAGCATTGCCTACAATCTAGCTCAGGTTAGATTTGAGTATGCAAGCTATGGCAAGTGCAAACGAATCCACAGGAACTGCTGTGGCAAAGACATCTTCTAGAAGTAATCAATCTGGATCACATACACTCACTGAGTTCAAAAGAATAAATCAAATTTCCGATAACCTCAGTAAATACGAACTTACTCAAATTCCTGAGAGTAAGTTTTAGGAGATGATAAATATGGACAATTTTGATCAGGAGTATAATCATGTACACAGTATGTAGTTGAGACACAGGGTATCTGGCGTTAAAATAGATGTGTATTTTGTCACCTTGGAAAGAGCTAACAACTCTCATCAAACATCTTAAATGCACATAAACAGGCAAGTTAAGACTGGGGGACTAAAGAAGATGAATCTTACAGGGAAACATTTCGCCATGTACAGCAGAGGTGTAGAAGAAAGATCAAGTCCATCCACGTGATGTTGACTAAACACTGCCATACGAACCTACAGACAATCCAAATGTTAAACTTACATCATTTCTGCGGATTGTATCAATGTTCAGATGTTGTCATTTGCTGAAAGAAAACAACGCGAAACATATACTCACTTTTGCAGATCGAAAAATGGATCCAGAGATGGGTTCCAGCTCTCCTGATATCAATTTCAAGAGAGTTGACTTTCCGATACCGTTGGGCCCGACCACTGCCACAAAGCAACTCTAAGTCAATCAAATGCCCTCATTTAAATATCGACACACGTCACATCCGCACAAAACAAAACTCAAGCACGTTTCGTACTCGACATTGCGTCACACACGTACGGCAGAACTGGCAATTTCCTTGGACAATATTTCCAACACAAAATTTAAACACATCAGTATTTAGCCCTAGTCGAAAATATTATCTCCAGCAAAGTGGTAAACAAAACAAATTCCGACTTCTAGATAGAAGAAGGTCCGATTTCAGAAATTTAGAAGGTGATTCATCTTTACAGTATAACCATCACATATGAGCGTAAATCTACTGCCGCAGTTTATGTATTTACTTGCTAGCCGACTGTCGAGGTCTATGCCAAAGTTGAGATTCTTGAAAAGCAAAGGTCCCCCAGGATAGCCAAATGTAGCATCACTGCAAGCACAGTCTCAACATTATTCGTTCCATCTCATAGGTACCTAGCTTTGAGAAAATAAATAATAAGGCTAAAGAACTCAACTTGGCACTGTTCACCCAACCGAACGACTCCAAACCAAACTTCCAAAGCATGTGCGATATACCTGAAGCTTATAATAGGAGCACTCGGTTTGTCCTCAGGAGTAGGAAACTCGAATTTGTAGCTGTAATAACATAATTATGAGTAGATTAAACCACCTGGACAAGGTTTGCGAAACACAAGAAATATGTGGACGGTAACGGGAAGGCAGGAGCTTATTGATCAGAGCTAATGTTAAGCAAAACGGATGTCGGAAAATACATGCCCTGACTATCACGACTACTTTGACGCGCATGAATATGTATAATCATAAATCACAAAGCTAAACAAGTGGTGCCGACGAAAGAGTACGATCCAACATTAACAGAAGCATCCATCATGTACATCAGACTTTGAGTGAAAATATAGATACTCACTCTGGGTCATTGATTACAGCATCGACGTGGCCAATACGTTCCAAGGCCTACAAGTATTACCAGTCTGGACTTAGCACAAATAAACTCAATCGCATTGATTCATGTATTGAGTTCATGTAATCGCACAACATTCAAATGATAGGCGAGATTTATTGAGGCTCCTTACCTTGATACGAGACTGTACAAGGGAAGCTCGTTTCGCATTATACCGGAACTTATCTACGAAGGCCTGACAAACAAACAAACAAACACCAGACAATATAATAAGGTACGCCAGCCGGGCTTCCATCTATCTCCATACACTCTGCAAAGATCTCATAATATTATCGTGCAACTACAAGATTACCTTCATGGGTCCAAACATACCTGAATGTGAGAGCGAGTACGTTCGTTGGCTTCATGGGCCTTCTGTTGATTCCTTAGCCGTTCGTCGCGAGTTCTTTCGAAGGTGTCATAATCTCCCTTGTATACTGTAATAATTTGATTATGAAGGTGCAATACATCTGTGACAACCTGTTCATGGCCATGTGTCAACAACTAAAAATTTAGGACAGTACTTATCTTAACCGAAGATAATGGATTTGACAAAGTAGGGATAATATCTATCTCAACAACCAGAGCTCAGTGCAGAAGAACCAAACAAGTACAAAAATTCAGCTCCCAGCTGCTCAACTACTTACCGTATTCAAAAACTCTCGCGCGTGAGAAACCACAATCAATGTCTTCGGCCACTTTAACAGGTAATTCTCCAGCCACAGCACGGCATGAAGATCCAGATGGTTCTAGCACACAAGGAAAACGTACTCTCAGTGCATGGCAGGAGAGTACAAAACTTGAACCAAGGTCAACTGGGTAGTCTGAGCTCAACTTTACTTGGAACCCCATTGTCCAAACACAAAAGTTACTCGGCATGGTGCAGACTGCATAGACCAATTTGTTGTTCAACTCAAAACACCGGATCGCCATATATCACTGATGGAAATGTCATCCACTCAACCACGATATAGTCAGGCATTGTAAAGGGGAGTAGGTCCAGGCGAGAAAATTACTGTAGGCTCGTCAAGTAAAAGAAGGTCGGGCTCTACAAAGAGAGCTCGGGCAAGGGCAACTCTCATTCGCCAACCGCCAGAAAATGTTTTAGTCTTCCGCTGCTGCATCTCTGATGTAAAACTCAAACCCTGCAAAGGGAAATACATCAGAAATGTGTTCTAATAAAGAATGATGAGATCAGTACAAAAAACTGACCTGACACAAAGAAAATGCTTTACATTATCTCACCCATGAGAACCCAAACGAGAATTCCCACGGTAACTGCCCAGCTCGAATGTGCAGGATCTTGTCCAAGACAGAAATTGAACTGAACATACTTACGGCTAAGATAGAAGCAGCCCGCGCTTCGGCTGAATATGCATCGATCTGCTCCAACCTTTTATAAATTTGAGCCAATCTTTCTGACACTGGATCTTTGGATTCCGCTTTGGACATATCAATGTCTTGTGGCTTAGTATCTTGCTCTACGGCATCCGTGCCGTCCTTCATTATCAAAGGTGCAGAACCATTGACTTTAGCCCCAGCTGTGGTGTTGATAGTGGTAGGGTCCCTCTGCAATCATAAGGACAAAATCAGATCATAACCAAGTGAAGTCAGGTTTTGACCGGAGACACGCCATAAAGGATGGAGATAATGATAACCGTTGCCGAAGTGAAAGCTAAGCCACGAATTGATGCACTGAGGCATTTGGAATAAGGTAGTTATTTTGCTGCCAATTGACGAAGATATCAGGAAAAAATTCCTGCCTGTTCATGCACAAGATTTACTGAATTTCTACTCACAACGAGTTCAAAATGCTCGCTTGCTTATATCCAACAAAGAAGAACAAGATAACAAGATATTGATGATACAGGGAGCTGTCATCATCTTCTATAATTCGGTGAGGAAAACAACGTGCAAGATCCTTCTACAAAACACAAATTTCGTACTACTCACCACACAAATATCACATGCAAAATAAAAAATCTCTTTCAATCGGTAAAAATGTGTAGAACTGTGAAAAAGTCCGAATTCAGTAGATTGAAATATATTCTGACCTGCTGCGCTAATTGGGCCTCTTCTTCCATAAGTGCGGACCGCTCAATGTCTGAGCTGAGTACACACTGTAGAACAGTAGTGTCATCCCCGACAACTTCTTGTTCAACGTGTAGAATCTGACAATTCTTTGGTATGCCATCAATCGCGTGCATAGCCATGTGTTTTAACAAAGTCGTTTTTCCTGTTCCGTTTCTCCCAACCAAACCTAAGACGCCACAAGTTCATAAATAAGAGGAGCTCAAAATACATGTACGTTCATGAATCTTGGAGAGAACATACGACACATACAAAGTTTGAGGTCGTGAAGAATTAAGCGGAGCGAGCAGGCATCGGTAAAAAAAGTAATCATAGCTAATAAATCATCTCCTTGCTAGTGATTCAACATCTAAGTCGAAACTCTTCTTTAGTGACAAGCAACAGGCAAATAGGTAACCCTGCGAATATACAAGTACCAAACAAATAGCAGACGTTTCAATAAAGGACAAGTTAATATGGAGGTACTATATAGTTCACGAGAAGGAGCTGGGCCATCGAGTGGATTACGTAACACAGTCGTAGCATATTCGTTCATAAAATCCTTCAGAAAATAGTGGAGAATGCGAAAGCATAACTCACCATAACGCCTTCCGTAAGCGAGAGTTACTGTGGCTGAGTTTATAAGCTCTTTACCACCCAATGAGATACTAAAGTTCTCCAGACGAATATCTTTAGGAACACTACCCTCTCCAACACCACCGTGATTGACCATGACAGCTGGCATTCCAGCAGTAGAGGCCTCAGCAGCGGCCAAGTGGGCTTCATAATCGGCCTGCGGAGATGCCATAGAACATAATCAGTGCATAACTTTCTTGATTGAAAACCCTGAGTTGTTCAATATGAAGTTAAAGAAAAAACTTGGATAGACTTTCAAGTGGAAGCGATCTACGTGAAGTCCTTGGTACTTTACAGTTCTGTATGTCAAACTCTCTCTGCCACTTTGACATCCAATTCATGTGACAAACAGCTGCACACATGCAAGTACCAAATCCCTACCAGTCTCTGCCTTTCTTCTTTTCTTCTCCGCCTCTCCATTTTCGCTTGATCTCGTTCAGAAATCTGGGGAGGGGCCTGAGTTGGCTCCTGAGTCCTGTACTCCTCCGTTTCGGGCATTCCATCGGACATTCTCACTGATGTTGCTAGCTTTCGATATCCTCCCTGAGTTTTGACATCCCTGGCAAATTTTTCCGCCAGCTTCCCACACACCTGAAAGCAAAGCTCTTGTGAGAAAGTATAAGATTCAAATTCATTTCCAATTTGTGCCAGTAGGTCGGCAAGGAGCGGACTTCGGAATTCTCGTCGCCCTTACAACTATGAGAGAGTGTTTTGGTACAAAACAATCAAATTCAGATGCATTTGAATTTTTTCACGACTATGAAAAACAGCCTGTCCAACGCTCGAGGCCAGATGAGGCCCAGAACTCAGTAACTGACACGCCCAAATGGTCAAAAACTAAAATTTAAGACGCAAGGTCCGCGTTATTTCTCACCGTGCGGGCCTCTGCTTCATCCTCAACACATCCTGAATCGACAAGTAGAGCCCCCACAGCCTCGAAGGCGCCCTCCCCCTTCCATCCAAATTCAAAAGTCTCATCCTTCAGCACGTTGACAATGTAATCCAGGATCGTGTCGTCCACATCCTTGGCACGCTCGCCTAGCACCTCGTGAACCCCTGCCCCAACCCCTCCGTCCGCCACGGCGGACATTGCCCCTGCTTTCCCACTATTCGAAAAATCCCGGGGAGTGCAATATGCGTACAACTTTCCGCTACCTCGCTGCACGCTTCTTGAATAAGGAATTGGAAAATTGCGTTGCTGTCCCCCCCGATCCAAAGCAGTTACTTTAGTTCTGCTTCGAATTCCACAACGGAGTTTCAGTCTCCACTACTCAACAGAGTGAAATCTGGATTGCAAATGTCAGCTAAGAATGCCTTCGAGGTTCAGGTCCCCAAAGAGATCAAGCCCCGTGATCTCAATGTCTTCGATTCACCATCTCTGCAACTCCAATTGCGCCGCATCCAGCTGCTCTATAACCTGTGCACGGCATCCATCCCCAATAATGACCTCGACCTTTTGCGATCAGAGCAGATTCCACTCCCAAACAGACGACACAGCTCCACAGCCCTGGGACGACAACGCTCGCTCCGCAGCACAGTCCTCCTCGGAAACCTCCAGAATCCCAAACAATCACTGTTTTCAGATATTTTCAGATCATCGAGTTCGACGATGCGAGTCGCAGAGCAATCCCAGAGTCAAATCTGTCGTCCACTGTCCTGTCGCGTTCCAAGCTGCGTTCCAAGCTGCTGGAATTGGTGAAGATATGCTCGGTCCCGGAACCCTAAACTTCCAGCCCTTCGAGGAAGGCTCTTTACGATTGTCGAGTGAACGCACTTTTCCGATCGCCAACGTTCTTTCCGACAATTTGCTGCCTCCCAACTTTGGCCTTCTCCGACGAGAGCTTTCGAGTCGCTCCAAATTTAGTCAAGCTCGGTGCACGGCCACGCTGGGCCTCTTCTTTTAGCACTTTCCCGGGCGGCCATAATTTATCATAGTCTTGCTTTAATTCTATTGTTGCTTATCTCGTTCGTCAGCCATGAGAGAGAGACCTCGACCGGGCAGATGTGGTGGAGTGAGCCAACGTCCTTTGAGAAGCATTGAATTTGACTTCGGCTGGCGATCGGTTCATGTGTCCGAGGAGACTCAGAGGGAGGAGAGGCGCATGGATAATTTATGGAGTGCCTCTATTGCAAATGTCGTGTTTGGTATGTGGAACGGCGAAGCAAAAGAAGACGACTGAAATTTTAGTGATTTTTTAGAATAATTATGAAATGAATGCATAGTTGTCGAGCCATTGGCGGGATGCAAAAGGTCTTGGCAAGGAAAAGTCAGTGAAATGCCTCAGCCCCTTATACCTGAAAAAATACTCAGCGGAATTTTAAATTGTCTCAGCATGTATGCCGGATCATCATGATGCAAATCTTTGTGGAATAGCCATGGAACTAAATCTAATGGATTAAGTCGTCAAGCCGCAATTTTTCACGTGAGCTTTCGATAAAATTTTCTCCCGATGTGCAAGTTATAGAAAAACGTCTTCACTACGCGTTTACGTATTTGTTGAATTTTGGCGAAGAATGGATGTACGAGCCTTCCGAAACTTTTTTATAAACCAACGCCGAGCACTCATTATCATCGCCATCTAATTTCTCCTTGGCACCTCGAGTATGGCATTCGATCGGCATTGGAGCATCTGGTTTATTCAGCGGAGTTGGACACTACAATTTCAATCCCGTCAGTACTCTTACCTGGATGCAACAACCTCATGAGCTTTGGAAAATTGGCACGGGAAATGTATACGCACAATTTCAATGCTTTCAACCGGAACTAACAGTAAAATATCATTCAAGAGATATGTAGAGATCAGGCACATACAAATGACGTCATTGCATTTTAATGCACAGCATGAAAAAGTTCACATCACAATTATTGGGAAAGGAAAACAAATGTGCATGAAGGGAAGAAGATTGCAATGCCACTTGCAAAGGTTGTACAATGAGCAATGTCGTACCAATGCTTTTAGAGATTACAACGTCAAGAGGACAGTGGCAAACTAATATCTTGAAATTAATGTCCAACTTTGAAATAGACGATGATTGAAACTCGAAGTACTCATGATTTCCAAATGGAATGTGTAACATTCTTAAGATTTTTTATATGCTCTTCATCCTCATTCGTTGTTTTTTGACATCACTTGTGCATGCCATTCTAGATTGACCGTTTGTAAAATTTGATCCACTGGTTAGGAAAAATAAAATAAACATTTTTGCAGCAGTAGAGAGCAAGATATCTTAAATCATCATAGTTTGAATTCTGATGACCAAAAAAATACATGTGATATGATTTCTGTTCTCACATAAATATAATACTTGTAAGAATCTTAAGTGCAAGATTATAATTATGTAAAACAAATTTACCCATATATAGTCAAATTTGAAATCATATGGCCATATTTATGGCTAAAAATATGCAATGACCAATATAAAAGGCCTCGGAATATTCATGGCATATTTAATATAATTTTTTATGAAAAAATATTAATAAATTCTATGTTCATATGATACAAATATAGAGTTTTGACATAAAAGTGGAAATTTCATGTTTATGCATGAAATTTAATTAGTACATTTTTTACCAGATTGAAATCTTTTTAAAAAATAGAATTTGTGCAACGAAGAGCAAATTAACATATCATTTTGTAAATGAAACATTTGTTTTTTAAAAACTTAATAATTATGTAGACAAATTAAGAATAAATATTTCAACAATATCATGAAAAACTAAGCTGCTAATCATGAAACTTTGGCAGAACTTTGTAACAAAGCAAGATAAGTCGTGTGCACATGATTTCAAAATATAATGCCGAAGTGACTACTTTTAATAAAAATCAATATTTCTTTTTGATACTAAACACCGCATTAGGAAAACAGGGATATTATTGACGGTTCACTAGATGTAAACATAGGTGTTTCGTAGTCAGAAAACGAGATTTTGATTAAATAATAATAATAACTGTTTCTACTTTAGCTCTCGGGAAAATGGCATATTTACTTTCCACTTGAATGAATTGCTCAAATCTGGAGGAAATCGATTCGGATCCAACAAAACATAATTAGAATTATTCTTTAATGTTGAAAATAGAAGTTATGATACGAAGTTCAGCTGAACTCTCAACTACTTTTACATTGATTCTAATCGGAATAAAATGAACCTACATATGTATATTTTAAAAAATGTACACATAAAAAGTAATTAAGCTCAGCCAAATTTGGAACGATACTTGAATTGTTAATTGATAATACAAACCTCAATGACTTTAAGGTCACAATTGACGATGTGAGGTAATTCAAGATAGAGATAATTATTACTAAGCTCCATGAAGCTTGTTGTACATATATACTAAGTACTATTGCGTAAATCTGCAAGGTTGGCTGTAATTGTGAATAATTATGCTCATTCTTAAACGAATCAAGATTAATATACTGAAAAAAGATAACAATCGTAAGAAAAGGGGAAAAAATCAATCTATAACTGGCAGAAGTCAACTTACAACTAAATAAAAGAAACTGATTTACATATCATATACGTGAAAACGGATATCGTTACTTCAGTACTTATTGAGTTGAAGAGAAGAAAGTCACAAAACTGTCCCACTTTTAAGATTATGACGATAATACGCTATGCTAGAACAGATGGAGTGGAAGACAGAAAAATCCACAAGAAAAAGCCGATAGAGTAGGAGTGCCAGTGAGGAGAGGGAGGCACAGTTCCTATGTGAGAACGCTCGGTAGAAGAGTACTGTACAGGAACGGGAGATCGTGGGATGGGTGGCAATAACCACGGTTGGAGGCCAGCTAACGAGGACGGTCACTATAGACGAGGACGGAATGCCCACAATGTGTGAGTGGGCCGGGGACAAAGTCGCTATCCAACGACTGGACCTCAGCGGGCCGAGGGTTCATCCCAACTCACCGCCTGGCAGAGATCGCGTCGGGCCCTTCGTTGACGCTGACCGGCAAGACAGTTAATGCGCGCTTCATTCAAGCGGAGGGCACATGCGACGGAGTGGTGGAAGTCGCGGTCGTCGTCGTCGTGAGCGTGTGGGGTTCGAGCTCTCGGTTCCTGGACTTCCAGGCTGCGAAATCTCCAGCCATTAGCCGCCTCCACATTTTCCGAATTCCGATGTCCGCCCGTAGGCGGCAGCTCGGATACCGTAAAGTCAATACGCCGTACTTAGACTGATATCCGTTCCGAACTTAGTGGGAGGCACAAGAGGTTTACTTTATCGCCTGATTTGGCGACTGAGCGAGTGAGATGATGGGCTGGAACGTGACTGTTTGACTCCTTCACGGTGAGCCGTCTCAACGCAGTTACATGTGTTAACCACGTCGGTTTCTTCTGGACGGCGTACACTTTCCGCGGTGGTATTTTTACGACTTCTCCGAAATTATCGACAGTTGCAAGTGGCTCAGGGGTGCCCTTGATATATTTGACTGTGCAAGGACTAAATATAAGGTACTTTCTAGAGCAAGTAGTATATGATCTGATGTCTTAAAGCATGTAGTTCACGATATTGAGGTCGTTCTGGGATGGCATCGATTTTTTTGCAAAGAGGATCTGCACTGTCTTCTGTAGTGGAAGGTACATTATAGAGGTGATATCTTGGATCAATCTCACTGTCCTTCTCGTACCAAGGACATTGAGAGAGGTTCTGCATTGCCCAGATGTATGTGAAGGGCCACGGCTTCATGTTCTGTTGTTCTGTTGGGTCTGATTCCTGTAGTAATCTAATACAAATCAAAGTACAGCAAACTTTGCATACATTATTTGTCAAAGAGGGAATCTTCTAATGTACTAGGTTCAAATCGATTACAAACTGAAGATGCAATGGCTTTTTTTATAGCTTTTGTTCCTTGATATTCCATGAATTGCAAATAAAGAGCTTCTGTCCAATAATTGTGTAAATCCAATCCACCCATGAAATGATCAGTTAACTTCTACAATACTTTTTCTTCTCCTTGGCTCTTGCAAATGAATGAATACAAGTGGACACCCTCATAATCCTTCCGTCAACCTCCGCGTGATAAGCATCGGTCCTGCAGACGTTAATGCCAAGGAATTGTTTTAACCACTGTTAACTTTTTCAATTGTACCTTTGTAGTGGATCTCATGTTGTTTGTGCATGAGCAAACAATGTTGTGGTTTAGGGAGATAATATCTGGATTGCTATAAGTTCTCTTTATCGTATTCTGTAGTCTATTTCAGACCGTGTGTCTATAGAACATTCCACTGCCCCATAGACAACAATGTCTGTCGCGAGTCATAGCAGAACAATCACATTAGTGATGACACTGCCTACCCTGAAGCATTATGCAGACCGTGTTATCTAAACATATTAGATATATTAGACGCAACATATTGTGATGCTATAGGGGCTAGTCACATGTTGGCGGGACTCGCCATGTTTCAATATACTGCCAGATTTAGAAAATCCTTCGTGGGAAATAGAAGCTATGCGGAAGCGAAAGGTGGATATAATCTGTAATAATTGCTTATCCCCCCATCTTACCCCCTGGGTTTCATCCATGGACGTACGCCCCAACTGGAAGTGCTTTACACTGCTGCTGACAGAGTCTCACTGTCGCATGAAGCTAATTTAAAATAGAAACGTAAACTTGCAACAAACTCGGAAAACCATTGAATACAACCGCGCTCGTCGCGGAGTCAATCTGTCGCATCGAACGAACATTCCTTCGTGCCGGGGAAAAAACACACACTCCTCCATGCCACGTCGGACATCGCCACGTCGTCAATCACTCCATCGACCCGCGATGAAAGAACGACCAGATCAACTCCCGTCCCTGAGAGGGACGGACTGAGCGAGAGTGAGGACAAGGACCGGAGAAAGTACAGTCCTGCCTGGACGAGCTCGGTTTACGAAAATCGCTGGCAATGAATCGCGATTCGCATTCCGCCCGAGCAGCGGATTGGCCGACAGAAGCCGAAGCGGCCCCTCTTCGCATTCGCCTTCGCCTTCGTTGCTGACAGACGAGCAGAAGAGCAGGGTCCAGGTGGAAGGCCCCCCAATTTTAAATGCCGCAGAATAGCAGCCGCGCTTGCTCCGTGGTAGTCCATATCCCTGGAGAGAAACGACAAACGTCCCGGGCGCCGGAGCGCAAAGTGGTGGAGGCCCACGTGAGCCCCACTCGCGAGTGGAATCAGGGGAAGGAAACTTACCGCGAGTAAGTCAAGGGAGCGAAGAAGTCAAGTAGGCGACTGTCTTGCTTGCTTGCTTGCTTCGGCCTTGGCCCTCGATTCCCGTCGGAATTTTAAACGGGGCCTGCAAAAGTGTGCCAGCGCTTTCTTTTCTTTCTTTCTTGCTCGCTCGGTCGCTCGCTGGCCCATCCTTCGTTCCTTCTTCTTCAGCAGCCTGCCTGCCGAACGGAGCGACGACCCAACGGGAAGCGGACGAGCAAGGGCGGAGCGGGGCCATCGTCGTCGTCGTTAAACGCCATCCGCCTTCGAGAGTAGGGAGCTCGGTGTTTCTGCAGCCTTGCTTGATTGCTTGCCACCGCGCCCGTGGGCATCGCGCTCCTTCCTCAGGCGGATCGGGCGGAGGGAGGGGGTAGCGGAGCTTGAGCGTGGGAAATCCGGACCGGAAGAGCTCAGTGCAGCGAGTGCGGGCGCAGGCGGGACGAGGAGGAGGAGGAGGAGGAGGAAAGGTCGAGGAGACGAAGCGGAAGACGAGTCCGAGAGACACGGATATGGGTGCTGCAGAGTAGGGTTGACGGGGGAGGGCAGGGATGCGGATGTGAGTGAGGCCGGTGCTGAGATGCGACACCGGAAGGGAGTTGCTTGGGATCGAATGGGGCTGTGAGTGTGATGTTTGGCCCGCGCGCTGGATGCATCCATTGAGCTGAGTGGGGGTGACGTGTGAGGTCATGCGCGAGTAGGAAGCGATTATTTTTCCGTTGCAGGTAACACCGTCTGCCAGTGTCTCGTGTTTGCGCCAAGGTTCTGGTTCTGGGTGCCCGATCGAGGCTTCGTGGTTGTTGTTAGATCTTGTCTCGTCTGAGCTGGTCCGAAAGCGAATGGTGTTCTGGTTGAAGGAAGCAGGATTCACATGGCCTGGAAGCATGCTCTTTCGTTGATTTGGAAGGCACATTCATTCAAGGAAGTACGAATGGCTTAGTAAGCTTGTAGCGTTCGACTCGAGCTTGATCTGCTGCAGGTCACTGTCTCGTCGTAGAGGAGGAGCGTGTTGTTTGATTGATTGTTGGTTGATTCTTCTGTGTGAGCATTGCACCTGGGCCCTCTGGGGCCCAATGTGTGTTTTACATCCACGTGTGGTGCGGAATCCTGAGTGCTTGTGCGCCAGGTCGTCGATCTGATCTTTGACATTCTGGCTTATTCGGGTTCTCTCTCAACGAAGAACTCCTCTTTCTGTTATTTTGATATTTGGTATTGATGGCGAGGGGCTACTTGGTTTTCTCGGGGCCTGAATATCCCCTGACTTCTGCAGAAATGGACGCACTCAGGAAACAAGCGAGCAAGTTTAGGGAACAAGTAGCCAAACAACAGCAGGTAGCTTCTCCTTTTACGTCTTTTGTCTGTATCCAGTGAAAGTGCAGGTGTTATTCTCTCAGTGGAATCTAAGTTCGATTTTTTTTCGCATGAACATTACGCCAGGAGCATGCCTGGTTACTTCTCGGTTGGCAGCTCCGTTGATGTTTAATGTAGATCTCTCGCACTACCTGCGCATCTCACTGATATTTTCAGCAATCCTGTAGTCTGTCATTTCATAGCATTCTTTCGTCGCTACTTTTCACACTTCACTGCCACTTGATAGCATCTTAGGTAGGGTCTTTCACTTGCGAGTCGTTCTTGCTGATCAGATTTACCTTAATTTCTCACGGTCGGAGCAGTAGCTGTACGGCATTAATTTTCTTGTTGCTCCTTCAGGCGGTTTTGAAGCAATTTACCGGCGGAGGTTCACAAGATAACGTAATTACAGATGAGGCCGAGCTTCAAAGACACCAACAGTTAGAGCGCCTTTACACATCAACTAGAGCTGGAAAGGTATTCACTGTGAAATTGCACAAAACGGGAACTCAATCCAGAGGACTAGAACATTCAATCGATAGAGACTAGGGCTTGAGATTTGTACATTTTTCGTCCGATCCTGTTGCGATATGCGGCTCGCCATTTTCCTTAAGGCTTATGTGGAGATTCTTCGCCACGTCTGGGATTGCAGCATTACCAGCGGGAGATTGTAAGGGGTGTAGAAGGCCTGATTACGACTGGAGCCAAGCAGCAAGAAGTTGGTGAGCGTCGAAAGTCGGACAACTGCCGTGCATTTTTACTTCTTTTCTTTCTGTCCCCGTATACTAATTCGTGTATGTTATATTCCCTGATTATTTTGTCTCCACACCTAATTGCGTTCAACGAAAACTTTTGACTTGCAGCAAGCAAGCTTTCAGATGATTGTAAGCGATATGCCACAGAGAGTCCCGGTGTGGGTGGAGCTCTTGCCAGGGCCTCACATCATCATGGCACAGCACGAGCCTCCATGGAAACTCAGCGTGAACTTTTGCACCGAGCTCTGGGCACACAGGTAATGTGATTAATGTCATTGCGGTTTTTCAGCTTGTGCACTTTATGAGTGTCGCTCCTTCCTCACCTTGTAGTACGTGAAGTCAATTCACTACCTTGAGGCTTTCATGGGCAGATTTAGTTCTATATTATGCATGATACAACATCCCTCGTACGGCACTCTGTCAATTGTAATTGTTGAAGCCAAAAATTAGGTCCAAATGGTTTTGTCTTCTGAGGTTTGATAGATGACCCGTGATGAAGGTCTTTACAGGTTATAGGCTTGAAGCCAGTCGCTTCCGACCTACTTTCAGTAATATAGGCGACTTTTTCTGCCAAATATATGTTATCAATAATTGCAGATGTTTCTTTAGAGTTTGAATGAATCCGAATTTCGCTTGGACAAGGAGTGACACTTACCTATGTAGCTAGGCTCAAAGAGGATACCTTTTCGAGACACGTGTTTAGTGGTGCATATGGTGTCTATTAAGCCTTTGGCCTTTGCGTTTTGTGCATGTTAAACTGGTCACTCATGACTGGAGTTGCAATTCATTTGTTTTATGAAAGTTTGAGATCCTAGTTCACAGCAAGATTCGCGATATAACATATTTCAACCGATTGAATGTAATCAGGTGGCCGAGCCCCTGCGGGCCATGGTAATGGGAGCACCACTGGAGGACGCTCGTCATCTAACCCAACGATATGACCGCCTACGGCAGGAGGCTGAAGCTCAGGTGGGACTAGTCTGGTGGGGCTTTTCTTAGTCATGGTTCAGACTGATATGCTATCGAAGTGGGCCCGTCTTCTTTCTTCTCTACTTCATGCTCATGTTTTTATGGTACGTTGAATTTTTCATTTTAGTACACCTTTCTCTGTGGTGGCGATTACTTTGTTGTGACCTTATGCTCGTATTATACTTTTGCAGTCTACCGAAGTGAATAGGAGGCAGTTAAAACAGCGGGAAGCTGGTCCAAATTCAGATAACACTGTCAAGCTGCAAATGGCAGAGGCTAAAATGACTGAGCTGAACTCAGCCATGGCGGTTCTAGGCAAGGAGGCTGCTGCGGCCATGCTCGCCGTGGAGGCTCAGCAGCAACGCCTCACTCTACAGCGCTTGATTGCCATGGTAAACTGAACTATTTTGATTTTTTAAGCGTTTTTTGATTTTCATAAGCGTTATCTTTTAGGGATGTAGTTCTCTTGATAGGGATGTCGTTCGTAAGTCCGACGTCCTGTAGAGAAACTCGCAGATAAATATAGAGAAGTGTGTAAAGAGTGCCTACGTGGGTCGCCCTTCCTCGTCGTAGTACTCAAAATATAGACAGAAGGGCAACCTCGATCTAGGCAAGGCTGATTGCGTGCTGTGTTGAAGTGCATCATTGTCATGCTGGCAATATGTATGGGTCTGGGTCTACGAGCGAACAGGAGCGCGTTCTATCTCTTCTAGACCTTGTAAATTGGTGGAGGTTATATTCATGAGGTTGCCCCGCGCATTTGAACTCATCAGGTCGAAGCTGAACGGACCTATCATCAACGAGTTGCAGAAATTTTAGACCAACTCCAAGCGCAGGTGTTAATCATCCCAACCTTCAACTTTAGAAACAGCATTCTGAGCATGATCCGAATGATTGCATTTCCTTTGCCATGGTTATGTAGCTCATTCGATCAGCAGGAAGCTTCATACACTGCATTTTCAGCAGGAATAGTTAGACACAAAGTTTTTCTAGAGAAAAAAGCATGATGGTTTTGAAGTATAATCAAGTCCAAGATCAGTCTTACCTATCCTACTTGCTCGTCGTTCATGCTTTTAATTGCCGCAACGAGCTAATTTTATTATACTGAAGGAACTGTTCATTGCATTCATAGTGGTTGAAAGCACGATCATGTCAGTGTGGTTGTGTGTTAACTCGTTGAATTGATTAGATGGTCTCTGAGCGCCAACGAAGTGAATCAGCCCCACCGATCACAGCAGGTACACCTGTTGTGGACACTTTTATGGCACCGCCATCGTATGACGATATCAAAGCAAATGGTGGTCGCTCAAACGCCCCTCAGGGCACAGGTGTCACATCTGGTGCAAACGCTACACATACCCAGAAAGCAATGTATTTCTTGGCTGAGGTAATTACTTAATTGTAAATTTTCCCGGCTGAACTTTTTTGCCTGAGTACCACGACTGAACAATTCCCTGATTGGGCGGGGGAACCTGAACTTTTTCGGAAATTTTAGCTGAAGATATGGAGGTCCTGGGCTGACTGACCCCTGTAATGCCTCCTTCCCTTCTCGATTGCCCCTTAGTGATTGCGAAAATCAAGTTCACCAGAAAATAGTTTCCCCTTGTATAGCTTTACTGTGAGTTATGTATCCGTCTGCCTTGATTCTTTCAACTGTGTATAGAAATGGTCCGAAGCTGCAGATTGATGTGATCGGGATGTTATCTGAATATCGGTACTGATTGGTTTTGAGTGTGGTGCATGCTATTGCTATCCGCTGGAAAAGATTTGTCACTAGTTCTGAAAGCGTAGAAATCTGGTTGCTTCAGGTCATGCACGGGTTCGAAGCCGAATCGGAAGGGGAGCTAACTTTAAATGTTGGTGATTACGTCGTCGTGCGTCAGGTTTGGACCATTCTCTGTTGAGCACCTCAAATGGCTCTTCCTGTTCGATTTGACTTTCTAAGTTATCTCATTGTCAGACGTCTGGTGCTACTTAGTCGTATCAGTCGTCCAAATCAGTGTCTGGGTATCAACGAGAGGAGAAAATCTAGTTCATTCTATGCGTTACCTTCCTGTTAGGCCGCAGAAATTTTCTTACATTATGATATATCGGTTGTCAGGTCTCGCCTACGGGTTGGTCGGAAGGTGAGTGTAAGGGCAAAGCTGGCTGGTTTCCTTCTACTTACGTGGAGCAGAGGCAACGCGTTCCGGCAAGCAAAGTGGCAGAGAATCCCTAGGTTGTCTGCTATCATACTTCACTTTCCAATTCTAAATTAATAGATTGTTGGCAAGCCTAAGCGAAGCAGCTTGGGTGCCGAACATTGGCAACATTTTTTTGCCATTGAACGGCTATACAGGAAGGGAGCCCCAGCTCAAATTTTTGGTTTTGGACCAAAGCTCTCAAAAGCATCGAAGCCCTGAGGATTACAGAGTGTGGTCGGTAGATACTATTGAATGTAAAACGGTTATTGCAATTTATATGCCATTAGAGGAAACCTTTTCAGTCTGGCAACACATGTTCAGTTACACAGGTTCAATCTAGGACATCAGCAGGTTGCTACTATGGATGGAGGGGACGCATCAAATTAGCTTGAAGGTCCTCTCTTCTTCCCAGGATGGGATGCAGCTGCATTTTCGAGGGAGGTATTTGTAAAGAGAAATCAACCCAAAAAGTCTTCTCAGTTGTTGACATTAATTTTTATAGACCGCTTTGAATAATTTCGCGTAATTGCGTTTTGTTCTCAAATTTCTTTTTTAGAGACAAGAGATCATAGTTGTAGTTAGTCCTGTCCTCTATATGATTTGACTCGAGCTTGCTGCTTACTTCCTAAGCTATCTACCGAAGGTGTTACTTCGGTGTCACCCTTGGCCATGAGTCCGACCTTAACCTTCACGACCTACTACTATCTTTCTGGGCATCTTGAGAAATTTTATTATACAAAAAGCTTGAAAAAAAAATTGTGTCTCGCTTCTCTCGACAATTTAAACTATTTGTGGATATAATTGCCTCTTTGATGATTTAGACATGAGTATATTTCCTGCTTTATTGTTATTATTGAGGGGCAGAGGTTGTATGTGAAACTAGTGTCGTTTGCCAGTAATTCAGTCATGAATTGCATGAAGGACGGCTTTCTTTCCATCACTGGGACCTGTAGGTACTCACGGTACACCTATGGATCACAGTGTTCTGACGAAAGCCCAGGATTTATCTTTATAACCAACTTGTCAGGTGGGATGTGTCTTGTACGACGTTCGTTTCTCGGTTGGTGCTCCATGGCACTTTGTAGGTTACACCAGCGTATTTATAGACTCACGAGCTGGATGACCATCGTCATGAGAAGTTGGTTTGTACAAATCACGGTCATGCCAGAGTGGTTCCGCCCTATTCCCGAAGATATTTAAAGAGTTCGGAGATCATCCGGAAGAATTGAATTCTCTTGTATTTATAATTACGCCGTGTGTTATGAACTTAGTCACGGTATTCACCTTCCGCTCTGAGGCAACGAGTAAACCATATAGTACAGATCGAATACCTTGATCCTCACCGCGATAAGAAGTTGCGGTCGAGGAAGGGTTTAGGAATTAGGATGAAGAAGTAAACACCGCCGTGAGAATTTTATCTTCATCTGGAATTCGTAACAAAGAAGTTAACCTAACACTGTACGAGGATCTACTGGTAAGTTCTGATACCGCACCCATTAATATGCTCATGTAATATTTTTTTAACTGAAGTACTCTGTATCGAAGACCTTTTTGGAAAATAATGTAATCATAGAATCGCGACTAGGTTGGATTTCAGTATACATGAGTCAAACCTACCAATAGTGACATATATTGGTACTTGGGTTTTATGTCACTATTGGGAGGTTTCACTCACAAGAGTAAAGTGCATATAACTTCAAAACAATAACATACATTGGTGTTAGAATTGGATGTCATTGTTGGAAGGTGCATGATTTTAATATAACCTCATAATAGTAACATACATTGGTGTTGGGGTTAGATGTCACTAATGGGAGGTGCTAATTATTTTTTAAAAAGTTTATAGATTTCTTATACTACATTATATCAATCCTAGGACATTATTTAGATGTGTTGTTTGGTTTCAAAATATCTTCATTTGCACATATGTATTGTTCACAACGATTAACATAAACATTATAATTATACTTGAATTCATATTAATACATAAAAATCTGAGTGAAAAAATTGATAATAATATATGTAACGAAATATTTTACTAAAGTCCAAAAAGAGTGAATTGTTGAGCTATATCTTAAACTAAATTTATGTCACATTTTTTTTAAATGTCATAGTTATGTATTGTGATGGTGATAATAATTTTCTACTAGATTATACTTGAGATTTTCACTATTGAAAAATATCTGTCACTATTGGAAATAGTGATGTATTGTTCTTATTGAACAGATTTACAAGTTAGAAACTAATGGTTTTAGAATTCTATTATTGGGAGATTTAACTCTGTAGCCCGTATTCAATATGCAAGTGATTTAATCTTGTGATGACATTATGTCTGAGAAAAACAAGCGCCGCGAAATCCCTTCACTGGTTGCTAAACAGCAATAGATAATACTCTCCCACGAAATAAATCTACGATGCTACGTGCTATGAATACTTTGAGGCTTCCTGTCAACGGTGAAAGAACGATGTTTACAGGAATGGCCTCATCGAGTAAACAGGATGTTTACAGGATACGGGTCTGTTCATTTTAATGTGCATCGCCCTGTATATAATACGCTACTGATGGACTGGCCCTTGTAATTGGTGCCTCCGTTGACGTCGCATGTACTGTCCTGACCTAGTCTGCACTTAAACGTAGTTCCCACTCAAAACTTGTACAGCGTGTTAAGAGTGCCTTGAAATTCATTTCTACATCCTCAATTTCTCAAACAAGCTCCGGGAAATAGTTTCAAATTGGAAGTAGAAGTCAGGAATTCCCTCGTCATAGTTCTCATTCGTCTTCGCCCTTTGCTGCTTCGAGGGTTTTGCTTTTGGTGGGTTACAGCTCTTGTCATGGCTTCAGCTTTCTCTGGATCTGTAGCTACAGCTTTTCCAAGAACATGGGAAACATAGGTATTTGGAAAAGTAGTCAACATGCAGACTTCTACTTGCATGTTGCAGTCTACATGCAACATGCAAGTGAAAAGTCTCTGGAATCTTGTTGTGTGATAGCAAGGTCTTCAAAGTCCGATAAAATTCGAATGTTCAAAATGTGGTTCACTGGTGATATTCTGGAGTCCAGTGTTGATCAACAGTTGTTGAGCACCAGCGATTATTCGGCCAAGCTCCCTTGGCTCTTGAAAGTGCATCTTGTTGTGTGATATCAAGGTCCTCAAAGTCACGCATAAAATTCGAATGTTCAAAATGTGGTTCACTGGCGATATTCTGGAGCCCAGTGTTGATCAACAGTCTTTGAGCACCAGCGATCATTCGGCCAAGGTCCCTTGGCTCTTGAAAGTGCATCTTGTTGTGTGATATCAAGGTCCTCAAAGTCACGCATAAAACTCGAATGTTCAAAATGTGGTTCACTGGCGATATTCTGGAGTCCAGTGTTGATCAACCGTCGTTGAGCACCAGCGATCATTCGGCCAAGGTCCCTTGGCTCTTGAAAGTCCATCCTTCAAGTCAAGAACTTTGCATGACTGTGATCTGTGTGTAGCCTGGAGCCCCAGACCGGCAGCGGCAGCGAATCCTCGCTTGTTATTGGCACCCGAGGTTCCCCCTTTACCACCCGGGAGGGAGCGACAATTTGATATATCCTAGGTGGCAAAGAAATCGACTTCTCAAAACTACAGGCACTTCCGCTCGAAATCCGGTTTTTCCGAAATATATAGACTCCACGTGTACTTTCGCGCCTTCTGGGTTACTCTTCCAAAGACTTCTCACCGTTGCTTTGCAATTAGTATAGATATTTTTCCCTTTTCACTCCAAAGGCACTACTGGTAGTTTGGTAGAGGTTATGGAATTCTCTCCACCTGGCCAACTTAGGCCTACGAAAACCTGGTTTTCTTATAGCCAGGAGCTTGGTAGTGTGGTAACGCTCTCACTTCGCCCTCAAAGGCACAGTTGTTGTCTTTCTCATATAAATCACGACAACACCCCTTGGCTGAGGGAATTGAGCCCAACCGAGCGAACTTCTTTTGATTAATATTTGCTTTCTCGAATGTTTGTATATTCTGCTTACTAAAGAGTACGATCTAAAGAGATGCCGATATACCTTTTTTAATTGTAGCAACATCACGTTGACAAGAATCAATTCGAACAGACTATTGCAATATAACAATCTTACATCTTATGTTATTGATTATCATGTCATTTTATACACCCCGAACAATGCCAACTGGCTCCCACCATGTCACAAAATTGACTTATGGCTGCCTTCGAATAACTCCAGACATAAATACTGGAAAATGGTAATGGCAAATACTTTACTGTATAGTTCGATATTTTGATCAATCTCAAACGGGGATCAAAGACCGCATCGAATGGTTGGTTACTACTCATTACTTTTCCGTTTTCGAAGCCCACAGAATAAGTCTGGTCCTTAGAGTCCGTACTTCTCACTCTGTCATGCGCAGATCCAAGCTGAATGCCGAAAGCATGAACTTCTAACCACTCTAGATGAGGAGATGAGATGTGATAAGACCTCGGCCTCTCATAGTCCATGCACCAAATCAGTCTTTGATCTAACATTCGATGTAGCCAAAACGAACATTTGGAACACGGACTTGCACCTATGAGAGACTGCTGTTGATCACTGCACCGGGTCTTGCCACACATTAATGTCTTCGTATTGGCCATCTTGTCATTTGCTTCAACTTTCATGGTTTCCGAGCTTTCACTCGAGTCAGCTATTGTTTTCGACTCTTGCTTCCACCTGCATGAGTCTCCCTCGACTAGCATCTAGACTCTTACAAATGCGGAGAATTAGGCTCTGCTTTAGCTTTAAAGTTGCGAAGTTGAAGCAAATAACGAAGAGTGTTTCATCCTCAAACTTGCCGAACAGATTTGCACAGCAGAAAGAACTCTAACTGCCAGCAACTTTTTGTTTGTCTCTTGTCCAACAGACCACCAAAACCTTCTAAAAGAGAAGTCCAACCTTTTCCTTGTCTTCTGTGTGGTGGAAATGATTGTCTTCTTTCCTGGCTAAAGGAAACAATGATCATGCAACAGGAGGCGGCAACAAGAAGGAATTAAACTCTTTGTCCTTTGGTACGTCTGTGGGTGTTGATGGATTCCACTTGCAGTATTGAGATCAGATATATTTATTAGTTGGAGTTGGTTTCTGTCCATCTTGCACAGAACTGGCAATGCTTCAAAAAGACTAGGGACTGAAACAAAAAGCCCGACTGGCCAAAGGATGTAATGAATCAAGCTCACCATACACCTCTTTACTCCTTCAAATTTGGGCTTACTAAGAAGTATTGTGAACCTACGAGAGTCCAAACTGTCCGCTACTTATATCGGTATTGTGTTTCCGTATCAACGAATGTCCATGACGTCAAAACGCCTAAGAACTTAACCCATTCGGCATGAAGAATCTCTTTCTCACTAGTAGAAGAAACATGATTCAACACCAAAAGTAGGGGTTCTAGTCATAGAAATATCAACACCCTTGAATTTGTTTGGAAATAAACTAACTTTGGCTTAAATGAGTTACTTTATTATGTTCAATTAAAGTAATTGTGAGATATCAGCTTCAGTTGCATGTCATTTTCTCTTTTAGAGTCTTTCTCGTTTTTATTATTTAGTAATAGCTTGCTGATGAGTCAATATACTATGGGTTGTGTAGGAATTGACGGCTTTGATTCATTTCGATTTTTAACAGTTATAAGGTACCGTTATAAGTCAGGATGATATAAAGTCAGTCAACGGATTAAGGCAGATATTACAGTGAGAAGTAACTCAAGAATGTTCGAGAGTGAGAACAGGGA